TGAGAAAACCTGTAATTCCAGAACATCAAGACCTTTACCACCTGTGTCAGATGGTGTTAACCTCGGGTGCTAGAAATCCGTATCATTGCATGGCTGCCTGCACCAGCAAGGAATTCTGTGCCAGGTGAAGTAAACAGGAATTCTGCCCCTTTCACTGGGACCAAATAATGATTTTCTGCTCCTTTGGAAGTAGGGCATGAGAGCCAGGCATACGAAAGACTGTCCTAGCAGGTCCCAGAATGACTGAGAACTGCCTTACTAGAGTCAGAGAGGTGGAGGATATCCACAACATAAGAAAGGCCACACCGGGTCAGACCAAAGGTCCATCTAGCCCAGTATCCCATCTGCTGACAGTGGCCAATACCAGATGCCCCGGAGGGAGGGAACACAACAGGTAATCCTCCCGGCACCCACCTCCAGAGAAAAGAGAGTTACTCACCTGGTGCAGTAACGTCTGTTCTTCGAGATGTGTGTCCCCGTGGGTGCTCCACTCGAGGTGCTGGGCTCGGCCCGGCGCCGCAAACCGGAGGAATTTTCACTAGCAGTAGCCCCCCTGCCGGACCGCGCATGCGCGAATGTCCCCTTCGCGCCTTTCATCTGAGTGCGGTCCGGTCTCGTCAGTTTCCTCCCAACCGGAAGCATCTGAAAGATATAAATAGAGGCTCCGAAGCAGGGAGGAGGGTGGGATGTGGAGCACCCACGGGGACACACATCTCGAAGAACAGACGTTACTGCACCAGGTGAGTAACTCTCTTTTCTCTGGAGGTGGGTGCCGGGAGGATTACCTGTTGTGTTCCCTCCCTCCGGGGCATCTGGTATTGGCCACTGTCAGCAGATGGGATACTGGGCTAGATGGACCTTTGGTCTGACCCGGTGTGGCCTTTCTTATGTTGTGGATATCCTCCACCTCTCTGACTCTAGTAAGGCAGTTCTCAGTCATTCTGGGACCTGCTAGGACAGTCTTTCGTATGCCTGGCTCTCATGCCCTACTTCCAAAGGAGCAGAAAATCATTATTTGGTCCCAGTGAAAGGGGCAGAATTCCTGTTTACTTCACCTGGCACAGAATTCCTTGCTGGTGCAGGCAGCCATGCAATGATACGGATTTCTAGCACCCGAGGTTAACACCATCTGACACAGGTGGTAAAGGTCTTGATGTTCTGGAATTACAGGTTTTCTCATCTACCTCCCACCAATTGAGAATTGCTGCTTCCAGGCCCTGAAAGCCAAAGCTGATTTCACAGATCATGCCATGAGGAACTGAAAAAGCAACTTTGCCATCAGGACAGGGCCAAATTCCAAGAGGAACAGAGGCGGGTGATAAAAACATGGCAGCAGTAGCTGCAACTGATATTGCCTCTAGATCAGTTGCAACAGCTGTTGTCATGAATGTGAGTTGTGGCTGCTCTTTTCAGGGTTCCCTGGGGTGGTCTAGAATAGCTTTGAAGACTTACCCTTTGAGTCTAGTCTCTTCAGTACAGGAGACACTGTGCCCAGGGATAGTGCCACCACGCTGTCTTGATGAGCTTCTGGTGCATGGCGTTGGCTCCTAGATGGAATCGGGACCATGTTCCTCTCTATTGGCCATGGTGGCTCTTGGAGTAGAGCTCTGCAGATCCCAATGTCTGTCTGCCCGCAAATGAGGATACACGCAGATAAGACATTTCTATCTGCCCAGAGCTCTACCTATCTGTATGCCATTCCCTGCTCTTCTCCTCCTCCTCTGCTGAAGACTTGGTTTGATTTGCAGTAAGAGAAGGAACTGGAGAGGTGTCAGTCCACACCTTCATTTATGCATTTGGGTTAGAGCATGAGGAGAACCATTGTGCATGTGTGAACTAACACACGCTGCTGGCTACAAATATCTGGCCTTCTGCTTATGGAATGTATGCATACCTGGGTGTAATACACAGATAGGGACCACATAGCTGAATGAACCTGTGAACTATAGGTCAGTAACCCTGCCTTTTGTTTAACATCCTCCAGAGATATCAGTGGAATGGAAAGTGTGTTACTCCTACATGATGAGACTGTCATAATAGAAAGAGGTAAATAGCAGGGTCCCTCAAGGCTCTGTACAGAGAATTGTGCTATTCAATGTATTCGTATATGATCTGGAAAAGGGAATACACAGTGAGGTGGCAAAGTTTGCTGCTGATGTTAAATTATTCAAGACAGTGAAGTCCAAAGTTGACTATGAAGAGTTACGAAAGGATTTCACAAAACTTGGTGAACAACAAAATGGCAGATAAAATTAAATGTTAAGTGCAAAGTGATGCATGTAGGAAAAAATCATTTAAGTTGCCCTTCTCTGAACTTTTTCTAATGCCAGTATATATATTTTTTAGATGAAACCATCACATCCGTACGCAGTATTCAAGATGTGGGCTTACCATGGATTTGTATAAGGGCACTAAGATATTCTCTGTCTTATTCTCTATCCCTTTTTTAATGATTCCTAACATCCTGTTTGCTTTTTTGACTGCCGCAGCACACTGCATGGACATCTTCAGACTATCCACGATGACTCCAAGGTCTCTTTCCTGATTAGTTGTAGCTAAATTAGCCCCCATCATATTATATGTATAGTTGGGGTTATTTTTTCCAATGTGCATTACTTTACATTTATCCACATTAAATTTTTTTTGCCATTTTGTTTCCCAGTCATTTAGTTTGGTTCAATTTAGAAAGAAGACTAAGTGAGCAGGTAATATGATAGGAGTCAATAAAATCACGAACGTTATGAAGAACGTGAATAAGGAAGTGATAGGTTTCCCTTCACATAACACAACCAGGGATCACCCAGTGAAATTAATAAATAACATGTTTAAAACAAACAAAAGGCAGCACTGTAGAACTCATTGGCATGGGGTGTTATGAAGGCCAAAAATGTAAGCGAGTTTAAAAAAGAATTAGGTAAGTTCAGGGAGGATTGGTCCATCAATGTCTATTTGCCAGGATAATGAAGAATGCAAGCCCATCCTCTGGGTGTCCCTACATCTCTGACTAGCAGAAGCTAGGACTGGATGGCAGGAGATGGGTCACTTGATAATTGCCCTGTTCTATTCATGCCATTAAGGCATTTGGCTTTGGCCACTTTTGGAAGACAGGAGTGGGCTAGATCAGGCCTGTACGCAGGAGTGTGAGTGAAGGGTGCAAACGCACCCCACATGAGCCTTCGTGGACCACCCTGGGTCTGATTCTGTCTGATCTAGGGATGGCAGGGGTGGCACATTGTCCCAGCCTCCCTCCCCCATGCTCTGGCCAGCTGGGGGAAAGCAGGGAAGTGCACAAAGATGGGTGCTGCCCTTGCCTCCCTCCCCTGTACTCTGGCTGGCTCGGGGAAAGCAGGGAGGCACGCTACCCCAGCCTCCTCTTCCATGCTCTGGCCGGCTGGTGAAAGCTGGGGCTGATTTTTCTCCTTTCGTCACCCAGGAGCAAGGCCGGGGTGGAGCTGGGCCACGGGGAGAGGCAGCGATGAGCCCCTTCCACAGCTTGCACCCTCCCCCCCACAGAAATTCCTGCATACAGGCCTGAAGATGGACCGTTGGTCTGATATATTATGGCTATTATCTGTTTTTTCTTTCAATACAGATCAGAAATATTTACTGAGCACCGCTCCCTTTTTTGCATTGTTGATAATTTTGACATTCTCATCTAATCATGGGCCAATACCATTATCTGGATTCCTTTTATTCCTAAAGTATTTAAAAATCTCCTTATAGTCCTTACTAGGGATGTTAAGGAGTGATTAATTTGCTAGTTGAGTAGTCGATGGAATTGGAATTTGCTAGTTGAATAGTCGATAAGCACTTCCGCGTTCTGCCTTTGAAATGCACAAGAACCCCAGCAGGACCAACGGGAAGTGCTGCTGCTGCGGGTCTCCATGCAGGCACTTCCTCTTTTAAATGCACAAGAGCCCCAGCAGGGGGCTGTTGTGCATTTCAAAGCAGAAGTGTCACATGGAGCCTGGGTTCAGCGGGGGACTCTGAATCCCCTGCTGGTTCTAGGCTCCATGCAGTGTGCCAGCTTTGAAATGTACAAGAGTCCTCACTGGGACTCCCAGTTGTTGGGGACTCTTGTACTTTTCAAAGCTGGCATGCTGCATGGAGCCAGGGGTCATTCCCCAGCTGACCCCGGGCTCCAAGCGGCTCTGTCACTTTGAAATGCCTTGCTGATCCTGGGCTCCACCCAGCATTTCAAAGCAGCAGTACTGTATGGAGCAGCTGACCCTGGGCTCTGTGCGGCACTGCTGCTTTTAAGTACCTTCTTCTCCCCTCTCCCCTCCCAGAGCAAGCAAAGGGCAGGCAGTGACTAGTCTACTATCCTGTCGACTATCAGATGAGCATTTGCTTATCGGATAGTTGACTAGTCATTTACTTCTCTAGTCCTTACTCTACTGCCCCTAGATTTTTCCTTGTGTCTCTTTGCTTCCCTTATCACTTTTGTACAATTCCTAACTTCAGTTTTATATTCATTATCAGTTTCTCTTTTGTCCCATTTGTTATGTTATTTTTAAAAAATGTATAGCTTCCTTCACTTACCCTCCAAATCAGGTTTTTGGTTTATTTTTTTAACTAGTGCATCCTTTTTTTTTGCTTGATTGGCGGATGGTGGCTTTTAGGGCATCTTTTAAGATGTTCTTATCATTCACATTTTTCTGATTAAATTCTTCTCTGCTGATTTGGCTCATAATGGTTTTCAGTTTGTCAGCCCTATTAAAGCACCATGTGCATATGTTACTGGTACAGATTATTATGATTGCATGTGTAAAAGATACTGTTGTGGGGTGTCACTAAGAATAGTGTTAAGGAAGAATGAAAGATGCCTCTAATGTGGCTTAGTTAATATTTGCTTGCAAGCATATCTCATTTGCAGTGGAGCTTGTTTGCTGCTGTCTCTTGCCTATGTTTGGAAACTTGCCTAGGAAGCATCCAAAGAGGAATAATTTGAAATTGAATCTGATATTAGGGTTTAATTATTTTTGTTTCCTTCCACGCAGATTGATGTGGGTCTGATTCTTGGAAATAGTCAAGTTGCATTTGAAAAGGCTGAGAACTCCTCTCTCAATCTGATTGGTGAGTTCTTCCAAATTCCTGAAGCCATTCTAAATGTAAAGGGAGCAGAATAACAACTGATCCTATGTAGTATTGAAAGCTACTGTAACGTTCCAGGGTAGTCATGCAAGTCTTCAAAAACATCATGGTATTTGTAACACCTACAGTAGAAAAAGCCCAGGGTCTTTGAGATGCTAATTGATGCTAGATGATTGAATTTCCCAGTTGATAGAGGAGATACTGGAATGTACAGTAAATTACAGAAGGAAAAAAAATCTCTGTAAAAGAACATTCAGGTTACAAGGTCAAACACTCAGAAGTTAAGAAAGGCAAGAATTAAGGCTGTTCATACCCTTAATTTGGCCTTCTTATATGTCTGCATTCTGGTAGCCCTTAGTTAGGTATCATATGCTGTTTTTTTCTCTATACTACAAGATACTTAATGCACAGAGTAGACAGTGTTCATTGAATGTGTAGCTATTTAAAATTTCCTTATCATAGAATCATAGAATAATAGGACTGGAAGGGACCTCGAGAGGTCATCGAGTCCAGCCCCCCGCCCTCAAGGCAGGATCAAGCTCCGTCTACACCATCCCTGACAGATGTCTATCTAACCTGTTCTTAAATATCTCCAGAGAGGGAGATTCCACCACCTCCCTTGGCAATTTATTCCAATATTTGACCACCCTGACAGTTAGGAATTTTTTCCTAATGTCCAATCTAAACCTCCCCTGCTGCACTTTAAGCCCATTACTCCTTGTCCTGTCCTCAGAAACCAAGAGGAACAAATTTTCGCCTTCCTCCTTGTGACACCCTTTTAGATATTTGAAAACCGCTATCATGTCCCCCCTTAATCTTCTTTTTTCCAAACTAAACAAGCCCAGTTCATGAAGCCTGGCTTCATAGGTCATGTTCTCTAAACCTTTAATCATTCTTGTCGCTCTTCTCTGTACCCTTTCCAATTTCTCCACATCTTTCTTGAAATGTGGCGCCCAGAACTGGACACAGTACTCCAGCTGAGGCCTAACTAGTGCAGAATAGAGCGGCAGAATGACTTCACGAGTTTTGCTTACAACACACCTGTTGATACAACCTAGAATCATATTTGCTTTTTTTGCAACAGCATCACACTGTTGACTCATATTCAACTCGTGGTCCACTATGACCCCTAGATCCCTTTCCGCCATGCTCCTTCCTAGACTGTCGCTTCCCATCTTGTATGTATGGAACTGATTGTTCCTTCCTAAGTGGAGCACTCTGCATTTCTCCTTATTAAACCTCATCCTGTTTACCTCTGACCATTTCTCTAACTTGCTAAGGTCATTTTGAATTATGTCCCTATCCTCCAAAGAAGTTGCAACCCCACCCAGTTTGGTATCATCTGCAAACTTAATAAGAGTACTCTCTATCCCAATATCTACATCATTGATGAAGATATTGAATAGTACGGGTCCCAAAACAGACCCTTGAGGAACTCCACTTGTTATCCCTTTCCAGCAGGATTTAGAACCGTTAACAACAACTTATCCTCATCAGTGTCTAGCCTCAGGCCTTATTTACTGAGCTGCATAAATGGTAATACATTTGTATTCACAAGATTCCTCTGGGACTAGGTGTTGATATTCTCTTCCTTTTACAGGCAGGGAATTGATGCACAGAAGTTAAAGTGAAACTTTTAAAGGTCCCATTAATTTTGGGTGTCCAGTGTGACATTTAGAGCCTGAGTTTTCAGAAAAGTTAGAATGTTTATAGCATATAATATTTCAATGCACAGTTCTCACTGGCTTCCACTGAGAATTGTGAGTTGCTCTGCACTTCTGCATACCAGGCCCTAGGAGTCTCAAGCTGGGCACCTAAAAATTTGGCACGTATAATTAGTGACTGCTTGTGGTAAGCTCAGTTTGTGACTTGTTCACTATTATGTAGGTTACCTAGTACAGGCAGGGGATAGAATCTAATTCTCTGGGGAGACATTCAATTTCCTTAACCATGTTACTGTCCCTTTTTTTCTTGCGTTATAGAAGTTTGAATCAGTCTCAGACCACAGTGTAACCTGTGCACTGAATAAAGGAGGAGTCTGGGGGGGAAAAATAGTAGTGACTGTTTAATTAAATGCAGTATCCTAAAGAAGGTATCTGATTTAGTTAGACAGGCAGTCAGTACATATGCAGTGGAGGAGGAATTAAATAAAATCCACTTAATTCACAAAACAGTTCTGCAGGACAGCGTAAAGGGGAAATGTAAAAACTGTTAAACTGATTGCAACATGGCAAGCCTAGTATTTTGCTAGCCTAATGTTTAGTATCACAGTTAATCAGTGACCTCCAGTCTCTAGTATATGTGTGGAGTGTGGTCTAGCAGAGCAAAAGACTAGTACTTGGGATTCTTGGCTCTGTCCCTACCTGATAGCCCATGAACAAGCCACTTCATCTTTTCCTGCCTTGTTGACTTATCTGTCAAACTGACACCTCATTGTTATCCCCTTAATTGGTATATTATAAAGCTTAATTGTTTGATGTGCTTTGAGAGCCATTGGCATGCACTGTTCAGAGTGCTAATAGTTATTACCATGAGGTAAAACTAACCAAAATGATTGTATGTTTTGGGCAAGTGACAACTAAGTGCTAGCTTTTAAAGTGGAATCTCCCTTTGCTCTGCCTTTTGTCAAATAACTGTAGTTCTTCATTTATCACTATCCAGGCTCTCTCTGTGTGAGAAGGTTAGTTTCCTGACATATAATGAACATAATGTGTGACCAGAAGGGGGTAGCAGAGACTAAGAATAACTAAAGGAATACGCAGTTTGCCTGAGCTCTTGCTGGTCGTAGTAGTATTAAGAAAATAAATACAGGCCATCCTCGCTATACGTCCAAGATATGTTCAAAAAAACTTGGACTTATAGTGAAACAACTTAAAGTGGGGAATTTTTTCCCCATGGCTGACTTTCATTTGTGCAAACTGAGGTTGGGTTTTTTTGCACGACTTAAGAGCAGGAAATGGGAGGACTTATAATGCATCAGTTCCTACAACTGTCAATGATTTTAATGTAGAACGGATGTATAGGAGGGTGACTCATAGCGGGGATGCCCTGTATAAAATCAGCCTATGCAAACAATAGCCAAGAGATCACATTTTACTGTTAATCTTTTGCTTCCAGGTATTATGGTGTTACCCAAAATGTCTATTACAGCAAGTTTATCAGAGAATTGTCGTATTAATGCTCAGTTTGTGTGCAGATCCTAGAAATAAATGTTGATGCCTAATAAGCCTCTCATCAACTGCTGGCTTGTTCTCTCTCCATGAATTCTTAGTATTGCTATTTCTAGATCATGGGTTCCCAAACTGGGGGGCGTGAAGAAATTCCAGAGGAGGTTGAGGCAACCCAGCCCCACACACCCCCGTCAATCCCCTCCCAAGTTTTGTTGCTATTTTTTGGTAGGGTCAATCAAAAGGGGGGACGTGATGCCAAAAAGTTTGGGAACCTCTGTTCTAGATGGTCTCTCATGGTGAAGTTGCCAAGGAATAAGCTTGGAAAGCAAAGGTTTCAGGAAAGTATGGTTTTCCACACAGTGGCTGCAATGCCTGTTATAAACTGAATGGAATGAAGTTAACATTGTTCTGTGAGCTTGCTTCTTAGCTGTCCTCCTGTTTTCAAGCAACCCTGTGAAATGAAGGCAATACTCTCCTGAGTTTCCATAATGGCAGTAGGACATTGTGTGTTTGTCTTCATGGTAATATTTGCAAAACAATCACTGCACATAGTTTAGGGAGCCTGCATTTTCTCCAGTGTCTGTCTGTCTGGCTTAAATTCTTCAGTGCTTAGTTCCTGAACCAGTGGTGTCTTCTTCACAGGCAAATCTAAGACCAGGGAGAACCGACAGTCAATTATCAACCCTGATTGGAACTTTGAGAAGATGGGGATAGGAGGTCTTGACAGAGAATTTTCAGACATCTTCCGTCGAGCATTTGCCTCTCGAGTTTTTCCCCCAGAGATTGTGGAGCAGATGGGTAAGTATAGCACTACAGAAACACATACGGGGTACGGCATTCAGTTCTATTTCTGATTAAACAGCTCAGATAAGAACTAATTGTGTGATAATGCTTATGACTCAGAAATTATTTATGCCTGGGAGCCCTGTGCCGAAGGAAAGTGTCCTCTTCCCATTGCCCCCCCAAATCTTGGTAGTACTCTTTTTGTTGGGGGAGGGGCTGGATTGTACATATTAAAAATCATTTATTTCCCATAGTAGAGTCTGTCTTATCCTGTCTTTGTCATCCTCCCCACATTGGGATATGTGAAATCTCCTGCACTGTCCATATGGGACTGTAACTGATTAATAAGGGTGGAATCATATACTGTTTTCCTTGGATCATGAGCGGTGGGTGTTCTGTTCAAATCAGGTAGGGCCATATATTCTTTTTATCAATCTTGACTTCTGTGTGCTAAACTGTTACCATTCCGGTAGTGAGCTCACTACAAAAACTACATTCTCTTGCCCCTATTTGAACTCAACATGTCCCCCTGCTAAGGGATGCCCATTTCTTCAAATTGCAGTTGCCGGTGATGCCACAAACTTCAGTTCCCTTTGTTGTGGTGCCAGGCCATTTTTAAACCCTGGATTTGCATCTGCCTGTTTTTGTCAGCTTTGCACTCTTTGTATATTTAGATGCCATGATTTTTTCCTTAAAAGCAATGGGATTTTAAACAGAAATCTCTGCTTCTTAAAGAAGTGTCCTGTTCCTGTGCCTCTATGTGTGTAGTTTCTTTTTTTATTTCCAGCACTCCAACACTGAGATTTATACAAAATATCAAATCTAATTTCTCAATGAGAAACATATGTCTTGAATTGCTGTCACAGAATACCTGACATTACAGCTCTGCTTTCACATCCAGTCAAAACTTACATAATGTCAAATCGGGACATCCCTGCATAGAGACATGGTGAAAGCCATTAAGATTATGTACCACATTTAGCTACACATTTGGGATGACAGTTCTTTCAGTGCAAGGATCTATCAACCAAATCAGAAGCCACTTTGAAATAGGTATTCCAGGTGAAGCAAGCAGTTAAATTCTTGTACAGCTTAACCAGTACCTGGCGGGCATGGACAGTACGCAATGTCAAGCGTCCATCTGCGAAACCTGATTGCTGTGGATGACCATATTGGCTAACGAGTGGTTTCATCCTACCAAGCACATTATGCTCAAACACCTTCCCAGGGACTCGAGCCATACTTGGCATGAGATTCTTTGTCCTTAGCAAGGACATGGTGGTGATGTCTTTCCATTCTGTGGGTGCTCTACCTGATGCTTGCACTTTTAAAAAAAAAAGTTGATGGAGATCAATGCTCCCATTTCCATGGTATCTTTGAGTAGCTAGAGTAGAATACCATCAGTCTAGCCGAATGTCCATTCTGTAACTTTTGGATGGACAGCCTTACTTTGAGTGAGAGAAGATCAGTATTCATTCCTGGGTCATGTAGCTCCATAGTTCTCATGGTTGCATTTTGCATGGGCCAGAAAATGCTGGTTAACCTTTGTTATTAGATGGCTCCCTGCTTCTGTGCTTCTGCCTTTTTCACTTAATTGTCAAAAACCTCTTCAGAAAGCGAAGGTGTCTTTGTCACTGTCAGAAGCTGATGGTGTCAGGGATGGTGTCAGGGACTTGTTATAGCATTACGCAAACCACTCCAGGTCATCTCCACCTCATGCAAGAGGATATTGAGGCTACATGTGTGATCTTTGGCAGCCTATGTGTATTTCACAGCTTCAGTAGAGCCCTTGGAACGATGCTGGACACTACTGTCTGGATGGTGCAGTGAGAACCAAGTTACTAGTCTGGGCTGAGATTACTGCCGCTTCTACACTGCTGACGACTTGGTGAGATTTCACTGTGGAGCAGTTTGACAATGTCAGTTTCTTTCATGGCACATCTACTGCTTGAAATCCAGGTCCAGGAATGGTTACTGAGACGCCAAAAGTGTTTGGTCCTACTGTTTAGTTCTTCTATTTGTATAACTAAAGCCTTGTCTGTGTCACCGCGGGCTTTCATCCTAACTTACACTATTTAAGCTGCATGAATAATGTAGCTGAAGTCATACTGAGGTCTGCTTACCATGGTATCTTCACTGCAGTAAGTCAACAGCTGACACACTCTCGTCGACTCTGCTTACTTGTCTCGTTTTGTGTACCAGAATCGATAGAAGCTTGCTCAGTGGTTGATTTACTGTGTCTATGCCCCTGCTAGATCTATTGCTGCCTGTCAATCCATCAAGTAGTGATGGCCTATGATCAGCCTTCTAGAGAGTAGAAAGCAAAGAAACCTAGGCAGTTAAGTAAAACTCACCTCTTTGCTCCTACTGTGATACAGACATGCATTTGTGCAGCTCTTCACCAAGTAAAGATTAGGCTTTTAATGGAACAGATGGCACTGGCACTCATCACCATAAACTTTTACCTTCTGAAATAATTATAATGCATCATCTTCATCATGGAGATGCAAAGTCTTTAGCACATAGCATTTGAGGGTATGTCTAGACCACATGCCTCTGTCGCCAGACCTAGCATAGTCAATGAAGTGGGGATTTAAATATTCCTGGCTTCATTAAAATAAAAATGGCCGCCACGCTGTGCTGGCTCAGCTTATTGTTGGCACAGTGCGGCAGTCAAAACGCGGCTCGGTCGACAGGGAATGCCTGTCGGCACAGCGCGGCGGCCATTTTTATTTTAATGAAGCCAGGAATATTTAAATCCCCACTTCATTGACTGTCAGGTAGTCTAATTTATATGTCTCTGGTGACAGAGGCATGTAGTCTAGACATATCCTGAGAGATTAATTCAACTGAGTTTCACAGGAACTGCACAGGTAAACTGGAAAATTTCATCTTGCTTCCAGTACAGTTCCCACCCACATAACACCTCCACTTGGACATTGAATGACTGCACGCTAACCAGTCAAACACCAAGATAGGATTGTATTACTAGAGTATTCTCATTGGCTGATATATCCTGAGAGCAAGACACTGTTACTTAGCAACTCTGTGGAACACCTAGCTTTACAAATGTAACCCTTTCATTGGCATCTGTACATGTAGAAGAGGTAGGAAACCTTACTGGTGTATTAAGAGACTAAGGTCTCTGAACACACAGTGTGTCACATTCAGATCTTTCCTTTCCTCCTACCTGTAAGTGAACTTACATGAATAAAATGAAAGAGCTGTGAAACAGCAGTAGTATTTTGGATACTATTGGCCATAGTGTATGTGTATAATATATATATAATTCTTACCGGTGAAAGTTTATACATCAGACTATTCCAAGAGGCATTTTGCAGTAAATGGAGGGGAACCCAGCAGAACTCCCTTTTCTCTATGATGATCCCTATGGCTAAAATGCTTATCTGAAATTTGAAAAAATGCTTTGACTTTTTTTCTGCATTAGTCATAACTTGCTCTTCAACTATATTTCAGATCTCAGATGCCAGTGTGACATCTGTTCAGGTCTGCTTATAATTTATTAGAAAGGAAAAGAAAACAATTGTTCATTGTCTAGATCTGCAAAATTTACCTTCTTCTGTTTTCTGCTAAATGCTCACAGATTATGCTTATATTCAAAATGCAATAAACATGTCAGTTGCAGCCCTGTAACTATATAGATGTGATCTAAACCCTTTGCAGCATAAAATAAAATACAAAATAGAAACTTCTAACTTTGTGAGATTCCCATAACATCCCAAGAATGTTCTGGAAGTGAAGCTTATAGGTCAATATTAGTCAGCTAACCCAATTTTCATCTGGATACAGGGAAGCCAACAGCCATGCTGGGTCGCAGCCTGAGCATGCCACATGGTGCCCCTGCCTCCTTAGGCAGCCCTAAGTGCTGCTTGATGCATGCAGGCAGTGATTTAAAGGGCTTTGTATTGTAGGTCTGCCTGGAACCCCAGTCGTGAACCAGGACATCATTTTGCAAAGTGTGGTATGTGTTCACATTAGATGTTTGTGTAACTTTCATTACGTTTGCAGAGATGTGTTGAGCAGGGTAAATTAGCAATCCAAAGGCTGCGAGAGTTTTCTCCTGCAGTTTCCACATAGTCCAGAAATGCCTATAAAACTCTTTAGAATTATTCTGACATAAGCAAGCCAATACGCTAGGAAAAGAGAAGAATGCCTCTAACAGGAATTAGTTCAAGAAAGTTCTGTGGCCTCTGTTATGCAGAAGCTCAGACTAGATGACTGCAATGGTTCCTTCTGGCCTTGTAATCTCTGAATGAATCTCGAGGCAAGAGGATGAGCAGTGGTTCCAGGAAATACTTGTCTAATTCAGGCACCTGCTGGCTCTCTGAACTTCCCAGGGAGCCTTTGGTTGCTGCAAGCAGAGCTGAAACAGCCTATGGGTAAACAAAAGCCCAACAAGACCCTTTAATATCTGGAACTGATTGCTTTCTGTTCCTATGGCTCGTGTGGTTACACAGCGGGGTATGGATTTGGAGCAAGGCATGCTGTGTCCAAACCCCTATCTTACTGCCTTTTGTGGATCTCCGGTTCTGCGTTATCTGAGCATGTTTACATCTTATTAGTGGTTAAAACAATCAGTGGGCAAAGCTATGCCCGTGTGTGCACAGACAGCTCCCACTGAAGACACTGGGTACGTCTAGACTACATGCCTCTGGCGACAGAGGCATGTAGATTAGGCTACCCGACAGAGTAAAATGAAGCGGCGATTTAAATAATCGCCGCTTCATTTAAATTTACATGGCTGCCGCGTTGAGCCGACAAACAGCTGATCAGCTG